AAAGAGAATATTAGAATGGGTCATAAAAACAAGACTCAACTAAAAGTTGTGTATAAGAAACCCATTTTAAATATAAATATAAGGACACATTAAATAAAGAAACAGAGAAAGATATCCATAATAACACTAATTAAAGGAAAGCAGGAGTAACTATATTAATTTCAAACAGAGCCAACTTCAGAACAAATAAACTTATCAGGGATAATGAGGGGCATTATATAATGATTAAGGGATTAATACTTTAAGAAGACATAACAATTCTTAATGTGCATGCACCTAACAACAGTGCCAAAATACATTAGGCAAAAACTGATAGAATAGTGAGGAGAAATAGATAAATCCACTATTACAGTTGGAGATTTTAACACCCCATATCAGAAATGTACAGATCCAGCAGGCAGAAAATTAGTAAGGACATAGGTGAACTCAGCAGCACCTTCATTCAACTGGATATTATTAACATCTGTAGGCTCTTTCATCCAACCATAACAGATTACACATTCTTTTCAAGATCATGTGAAACATTTACTAATAAGAGAGACCACATTCACAGCCATAAAACACACTTTAAGAGATTTAAAAGAATAGAAATCATACAATGCCTGCTCTTAGAGCACAGTAGAATTAACCTAGGCAACAAGGGAAAGAAAGCTGGAAAATTCAAAGTATACATAGAGATTAAGCAATACACTTCTAACTAACAGGAGACAAAGGAGAAATCTCAAGAAATTTAATATTTTTAATTAAATGAAAATACTTGTAATATGTGAGATGCAGCAAAAGCAGTGCTCTGAGGGAAATTTATAACATTGAATGCATATATTAGAAAAAAAAGACTTAAAATCAATACTCTAAGGCTTCTAGGAATTTAGAAAAAGAGCAAATTAAGTCCAAAGCGAGCAAAGAAAAGAAATAATAAACATTGGAGCAGAAATCCATGAAATTAAAAACAGAAAGTCAGTAAAGAAAATTGTTGACTTTTTTGAAAAGCTCTTTCTTTGAAAAGGTCAGTAAGATTGATTAGCCTCTAGCCATACCAACAAAGAGAAAAGACACAAATTACTAGTATTAGAAATGAAAGCGAAGACATCAGTACAGATCCCATGGATATTATAAGGATAAGAAAGGAATATTATGAACACTTACATGTCCACAAATTTGATAACCCTCATGAAATAGACTAATTCTTTGAAGGATACAAGAAGAAATTGACAATCTGTATAAGCCTACATCTATTATGGAAATTGAGTCAATAATTAATAACTTTCTTGGACAAAAGTGCCAGGCCCAGATAGGTTTCACTGGTAAATTCTACCAAACATGTAAGGAAGAAGTTATACCAATTCTCTACAATCTCTTCTAAAAGACAGAGCTAAGGGAATACTTCTGACTCATTCTTTGAGGCCAGCATTAACCTAGTGCCCTAATAGCAAAATCAGACAAAGATGTTATAGGAAAAGAAAACTTCAGACAAGTATCTCTCATGAGCATAGATGTAGAAATACTCAATAAAATATTAGCAAATTGAATTCAAGAATGTATAAAAAGAATTATTCACTACAACCAAATAAGACTTATCCCAGGTATACACGGCTGCTTCAGCGTTTGAAAATTAATTATTCCATTCCATCAGTAAGGAAGGGAAGAAAAATTTCATGATCATATCAACAGATGCAGAAAAAGCATTTGACAAAATCCAACATCCATTCATGAAAAAAAAAAACTCTCCGTAATTGAGGAATAGAGGAAAACTTCAACTTGATAAAGAACATCTATAAAAAAAACACTACAGCTAACATCATACTTAATAGTGAGAAATTTGAAGCTTTACTGCAAAATCAGGGTCAAGGCAAGGATGTCCCCTTCTCACTGCTGCTTTTAACATCATACTAGAATGCAAAAAGACCTAATGCAAAAAGACAAGAAAAGGAAAAAATAAAACTGTTCATAGGTGACATCATTTATATAGAAAATGTGAAAGACTTGACAAAAAACTCATGGAACTAATAAGCAATTGTAGCAAGGTTGCAGGATGTAAGGTTAATATACAAAAGGCAGTTACTTTACTACATACTTGGAATAAACAAGTGGAATTTGAAATTATAAACATTACCATTTATATTAGCACCCTAAAAATGAATTACATAGGTATAAATATAACAAAATATGTATAAAATCTATATGAAGACTACAAAACTGATGAAAGATATCAAAGAACTAAATAGATGGATATTCTGTGTTCATGGAGTGGAAGACTCAGTATCGTCAAGATGACATTTTTTTCTCAACTTTATGTACAGATTCAGATGTAATCCCAATCAAAATCCTAGGTAAGTTATTTTTTTGGATATTGATAAACTGATTCTAAAATTTATATGGAGAGACAAAAGACCCGGAAGAGCTAAGTCAATATTGAGAGAGAAGAACAAAGCTGGCAAACTGACACTACCCAAGACTTAGTATAACTACAATAATTGAGACAGTGTGGTATCAGCAAAAAAAAAAGGAAAAAAAAAAGAAAAACAGGTGAGTAGAACAACAGAATAGAGAACCCCAAAATAGACTCGTAAATATAGTCTGAACTTTGACAAAGAAGCAAAGACAATACATTGGACAAAGATAGTCTTTCCAACAAATAGTGCTGGGACAATTGGACATCCACATTAAAAAAAAAAAATTGAAACACAGAATTTACACCCTTTACAAAAATGAGTCCAAAATGGATTTTAGACCTAATTGTAGAATTCAAAGCTAGGAGAACATCTAAAATATAGCATAGGAGATAATTGGCTGTGGTTATGGTGATGAATTTTTAGATACAGCACCATTCAGTGAAAAGAAGATACCATCCATCAAAGAAATAATAAGCTGGACTTTGTTAAAATTAAAAACTTGTGCTCTACAAATGACAATATCAAGAGAAAGAAAGTAATCCACAGATTGGGAGAAAATATTTGTAGAAGACTGTTACCTGGGGTGCCTGGGTGGCTCAGTCGTTAAGCGTCTGCCTTCGGCTCAGGTCATGATCCCAGGGTCTTGGGATCGAGCCCCGCATCGGGCTCCCTGCTCCACGGGAAGCCTGCTTCTCCCTCTCCAACTCCCCCCTGCTTGTGTTCCCTCTCTCACTCTCTCTCTCTCTCTCTCTCTCTCTGTCAAATAAATAAATAAAAATCTTAAAAAAAAAAAAGACTGTTACCCAAAGTATACAAAGAACTCTTGAAACTTAGCAATAAGAAAATGAGCAACTGGATTTAAAAATGAGCAAAAGATCTGAATAACCATCTCACCAAAGAAGTTACACAGAGGTCAAGATACACATATGGTTCAAGTAAGCATATGAAGAGCTATTCAACATCATTAGGACATTAAAAATTAAAGCAGTGAGATACCACTACACGCCTATTGGAATGGCCAAAATCTGTAACACTGACAACACCAAATTCTGACTGATGTGGAGCAACAGGAACTCTCATTTATTGCTGGTGAGAATGCATAATGGTACAGCCACTGTGGAAGATGGTTTGGCAGTTTCTAACAAAACTAAACCTACTTATACTCTATGATCCAGTAATTATGCTCTTTCATATTTACCTAAAGGAGTTGAAAACTTATGTCTACACAAAACCCTGCACACAGATGTTTATAGCATCTCTCTTTATAATTGCCCAAATTTGGAAGCAATCAAGATGTACTTTAGCAGGTGAATGGGTAAACTGTACATCCATACAGTGGAATATTATTCAGCACTAAAAAGAAATGAAGTATCAAGCCATGAAAAGACATGGGGGAAACTTAAATGCATATCACTAATGAAAGAAGCCCATCTGAAAAGGCTACATATTATATGATTCCAATTATATGACATTGTGGAAGAGGCAAAACTATGGAGACAATACAAGAATCAGTATTTGCTAGGGGTTGATAGGGATGAGTAGGCTGAGCACAGAGGACTTTAGAGAAGTGAAACTATTCTGTACAGTACTGTAATGGTGTTTGTACCTCAGCATGCATTTGCCAAAACCCATTGAATGCACAGCATTAAGAGTAAACCCTAATGTGAACTGTGGACGTCATGTGATGATGTGTCACTGTGATTCACTGATGATAAGAAATGTACCACTCTAGAGCAGATGTTGATAGTGGAGGAGATTGTGTGGTGTGGAGGTAGGGGATGTATGGGAAATCTCTATACCTTCCTCTCAATTTTGCTTTGAACCTAGTGAAACTTCCCTAAAAAATGAAGTTTATTAATTTTTAAAAAGTTTGGAATTGAAGCAATATGTAATTACTCATAATTTCGAGCAATTCAAGTTTATTTGCACTTCGAACAACATAGATTTGGAGTATTTAGAAAGGATGACCTATTAAGAGATGTACACTTGCTTGCATTATGCACGCTATTTGTATATCAAAAATAAAAACTTCAGCTTATCATCATTACCAATCACAAATTCTTATAATCTGCACACCCTAAGAATTACTAATCACTTTATCCACTCTTGAGTCTTCTACTCTGTTCTCTGTTGCCCTTGACCCCTTGGCCTAAAACTAATCTATGTCTCTTATTTTAAACATTTGTGAACAGTGGCCTTCTCAGCCCTAGAGCACAATAGGTAGTAAGAGTCCATGTTACAAATGAGAAGACATTATAGTTATGCCTTAATATTACTTAATTGGTCATGATCTTTAACTCATCAACTCATTGCCTGTTCTACACCTTCCCCTGGTCCCAAGCTATTGGTTAAGCCAACAGTGCATGGGTCTCTACCCTCAGATGTATGCCTTCTACTGTACCCTTGTTTGACTCATTGATTTTGTATCTGTGAAAAGAATCTAATGGAAATTCTAAAAACAAGAATTAAAGTGGTCTTATCCCAAATTGTGTATTACTTAGGAAGATACTTACCTTAATTGCCAAGTTTCATTTTTTGTTTCCACATAAAGATTGTATTTCTAAAAGGTTTGAGAGAGAATTGCTGAAGATACTTTTTCTATTTTAGATGAGCAAGTTGTTATGGGCAACAAACTTCTTGTATATATTAGGTAAGAGATTTTTAAAAAAAAATTTATCTGTGTGTATGCTCCTTCCGTAATGTCCCCCTGTATTCTTAGAGGTACGGTCATCTCCTATGTGTATAGTGCTTTTCACGTTTCAGTGTTTGCATGTACAGTATGGTTCTCAACCATAGGTGATTTTTGTCCCCCGTTGGTGACCACCCCCCCATGTTTGGCAATGTCTAGAGTCATTTTTGTTTGTCACAGTTGGGGCTGGGGGAGAGACGCTGCTGTCATCTAGTGGGTGGTGGCAGAGATGTTGCTGAGCATCCTGCAGTGAACAGGGTAGTCTACACAACAAAGAATTATCTCTGTCAAAATATGAATAATGCTGAGGTTGAGAAAGCCTAGTGGTAGAGTATTTTACTTTTACTACTGACAACTCTGTGGAATATGTGTTGTCTCTATTTTATATAAAAGGCCAAGAGATGTGTTTAGATCACGAAAAAGTTAGTGACAGAGGTTAAGCTGTGAAATGTTTATCTCCTTACTCCTCGAACAGGGTTCTTCCCAACAGACTATGTAGGCTCAGAATTATGTCCTGATAGAACTTAGATAGATAACTCGCTGCCAGGCTAGCAGGCAGGAAGGTGACAGAACCTGCCAGAGCATTATTTTAGCCCCGATCTAGTGTCAGTGTTAACTTTGGGACCTGTTTCACACTAGTTATGTTGATTTTTTTAGAAGAACATTGTAGCATCCACCTAGTACCGAATCTGTCCTTTAAACTTCTCAGAATATGCTGTCTATAATCCAGCATTCAGAAGGGATGACAAGGTCAAAAAAGTTTAAAATCAGTGCCTCCCCCCCAAAATGAGGACATAATCAGAAGACATCTTTATAGTTCAGCCCACAAGGCATAATCCATAAAGCATTAGCTATAAGGAGGGTCTGATTTAGAGGTAAAACTGTACAGTTAATTTCTCGTCAGGTTCTCCTCTCCCTGAAGACTTGTCCTATTGTGGACATTTTCCAGTCATTTGTTAACCTAGCTCATTCCCTGTCTTTAATCACTGTTCTTAGAGCCACTGGTTTAAAGTCTCTGAAAACATTAGGCTTTTCACTGGTAAATCATAGCATAATGGTGCCATTAGGTTTTTTCTGGTGCTGAGTGTGAGACTTTCCGATAGTCTGTTCTCATTCCTTCTTGTCCGCTTTAATGTGGCCTGGGTTTTTCTCAGGAAGAATAAGAAGAAATGAAAGTGCTTACTCTGTCACAGGGTGTGTTATTTCACCACCATCCCTGTTGGCCACAGTTTCTGAACTGCCTCGCATCTTGATCAGGTGTGACCTTGACCTGACAAAAGCTGAGCCTGCTTAAAAATCAAATGAATATCTTGGGTTTGAGAAAGAGTGTGTACTCAGCCCGTTACAAGTCACCAACTCTTTCTCTTTCTCTTTCTTCTAGCTGTTGTCTTGCAGGCAGAGCCTATCCCCTTGGTGACATCCCTGAAGATCTTGTTCCCTTGGTTAAAAACCAGGTTGGTGCTCTTTCCGCGGCATTTTTATGATCTGCACTTCTTGTTCAATGCAAGAAAGATGAACTGTAATTGAGGGTTACACATGAGGGTTACCACATATCTGCAGTGGTAGGAGAAAGCCTCCCCACCATCACTGCAGCCAGGAATTAGAGCTGAGACAGGTTAGAAAAGTTATAACATGGTGGCAATTTAAGCTAAATTCGACCTGCCTTTATTTTGTCCAACTGGGAATCGTTGCTTCAGCAATATACTTTGCAAAGAGAGAAAATAATCAGCTTTTCTTTCAACTTGCAGGTTTTTGAATTTCTGATTCGCCTGCATTCAGCAGAAGCTTCCCTGGAGGAAGAAATCTACCCGTATGTTCGGACTCTGCTACATTTTGACACAAGAGAATTTCTAAATGTATTGGCACTGGTAAGAGATCATAAGATTTTAAGGTATTTTTAGAGGAACCAGGGCGGTAAATTTTTTTAATAGAAGGATGTGTATGCAGGTATAATTTTTGTGCCCTAGCAGTGAGCAGTAAACATTTCCAAATGTTTGATTTTGTTGTGCCACCCCTATTTCCTAATTCTTTATCTCCCTTCCTTCCCTCCCTCATCCCTCTCTCCCTTCTTCTTCCCCCACTGCCCCTGTGTCTCTCTGTCTCTAACACATCCTTATCAAAAAGTTAAAGCAGTGTAGATGTGTGGTACATTTTTTGGTTTCATAAATTATATTAGTTCACATACTGAATATGGAAGAAAGCTCTGAAGGACATGTAGTGGTGATGATAGTGGAAGTCACTGGAGTTTCAGTGGAACATGGAAGCTTCCTGCTGAAAAAACCACCTTATACCTATTTTTTTATAAAGATTTTATTTATTTATTTGAGAGAGAATGAGAAATAGAGAGCACGAGAGGGAAGAGGGTCAGAGGGAGAAGCAGACTCCCTGCTCAGCAGGGAGCCCAATATGGGACTCGATCCCGGGACTCCAGGATCATGACCTGAGCTGAAGGCAGTCGCTTAACCAACTGAGCCACCCAGGCGCCCACCACCTTATACCTATTTAATTAAAGATGGATTTGGGTGAGCCAGGTTCTCTGTGAAAATGCCCCCAAGGGAATAATTATATAACATAATATATCTTTCCAATTAAATAGTATTATAGTGTTTTTTAAAAAGCTTTTGATAACATGGACAGGGTTTATATTACAGTGTTTAGTGAAGCAGCAGCCTCACAAATGTATAAGACACACACAAATGTTACATATGCACAGTATTTAGAGAAAAAAGACCAGAAGGAAATACACCTATGTACTATTAGTTATTAACTGTGAGATGGGGCAGATTTCTCTGATGAGCATATAGTACATTTATAAGTTGAGTAATATACTAAACTTAAATTAAAAACCAATGCCCATGAGAAGGATAAGATTCCCAGTTATAGTATAGTTTTAATTGGTTTATTTGAATATCTGACTTCAGAAGTGGTAATTTTAATTGCAGAGGAAGAAGGGAAAAGAAACTTGGAAGTAGAAGTCCGATCTAGTTGGTTTAAGAAACCTTAGAGAACCTAAGGGTACTTGCTATCTGGCATGTAGGAAATGAGAAACAGAAAGTGGTGAGGCAAGGGGTACAGAAAGAGTGGTAGAGAGCAACAAAGAATTCTAAACTCATTTTCGTTTTTTTAAGGGCTCTGGTAGCACTGAAGACCACTTGGAATTGTGCTGACTTCTGAATTATGATACGAGGATTGATAATAAGGCTGCAGTGCAATCTCATTTGCTTAACAAATAGTTGAGTGCCATATCACATGGTCTGTACTGCCTGGGGGTGCACTGTTGGCTTACAAGCTATAAAGCCTGCACTGGTGGAGGAAGAAGATGTAGACTTTGGGGTCAATAGTTACAGCGCAGCATAGAACATGCCATTGGAGAAGTGCAGGATGCCACACACACCTACGAGAGGAATCTAATGGAAGGTTAAAGAAGGTTTCTTGTATGGAATGATGCCCATGTGAGTCTCAAAGGATGAATAGAGGTTAGGTTAAGATTAGGGAAGAATATTCTAGGTAGAAGAACAAAATGTGTAAAAAAGCCTGGAAACAAGACAGAGCAAGGTATGCTCAAGGAATTGGGGAAAAAAAAAATCAGTATGGCCACATCTCGAAGTGTAAGGAAGCCTATAGTAAGAAACAAATCCGAAGAGGTAGATAGAGACTGAGCGTTGTAACCCCTGGTGAGAAGTTTGGACTTTACAGTAGAGCAGCAGGTAGGCACTAAAACCTTTTAGGTAAAGGAATATCATGATTTGTAGTTTAGAAAAATTCCCTCTGACTACTGTATGAAAATGGGTTGAAATAAGACAACTTTGGAGGCGAGAAGATCTGTTAGCAAATTTTTGTACTAATCTAGGGAGAAGCTAGGGGCGCCTGGGTGGCTCAGTCGGTTAAACGTCTGTCTTTGGCTCAGGTTATGATCCCGAGTCCCTGGATTGAGCCCCGTGTCAGGCTCCTTGCTCGGTGGGGAGTCTGCTTCTCCCTCTCCATCTGCCCCTCCCCCTGCTCCTTCTCTGTCTCTCTCTCAAATAAATAAATAAAATCTTAAAAAAATAATCTAGGTAGAAGATTAACGGTGACTTGAATTAGGGCAGTGACACCAGGGATAATAAGACATGAAAAGATTTGAAAGATATTTTATGAAGCAGATTGGCCTAAAACTTAGGGCTTATTGCACAGTTGGATGTGAAGGATAAGACAAATGGGAAGCATCCGGGCGCCTGGGTGGCTCAGTCATTAAGTGTCTGCCTTCGGCTCAGGTCATGATCCTGGGGTCCTGGAATCGAGGCCCGCATCAGGCCCCCTGCTCCGTGGGAAGCCTGCTTCTCCCTCTGCCTGCTCTGCCTGCCGCTCCCCCTGATTGTGCTCACTCTCTCACTCTCTCTCTCTCTCTCAAATAAATAAATAAAATCTTAAAAAAAAAAAATGGGAAGCATCAAAGACTCCTAGATTTTTGACTTGGTTAACTGGATGTATAGTGGTTTATTTATTCAGTAGAGAATGAGAGGAGAAACCGGTTTCTAAGGAGATGAGGGGGTAGGACAGGGTTGTGGTGAGGGGTAGGGGGAGATATAGATATTAATTCTCTTTTGGACTTAATGAATTTGAAATGCCTGAAAGACATGTGGAGGTTTTCTTCCATGCTTGTATCAAATGTTGGCCGCAAGCCCAAGTACCAGAGCTGGTGAAATTGATAAGACCTAGGATCTGAAATCCTAGATTCACCACCTATTTTGCCATGATTGATTGATCATATAACCTTCCTAATTCAATTAATATATCTTAATAAAAAACATCTTCAGGGTGACATAAAATAATTTACATGACAGATTTTTTAAATCACATTTTACCACCTTTTTTTCATTTAGGAATATTTTTTCAAGTAAAGTTTTTAAATTTAGCTTCCTTGAGGTACAATTTAAGCAAAATGTAGTTCATCCATTTCAAGAGAAGAGTTTGACAAATGTATACAGTGTTGTGACCTCTCCCACAACCTAGATACAGAATATTGCCATGACACCAAAAAGGTCACTTTTGCAGTTTTGTAGTTAGTCCCAAACCCCAGCCCCTGGCAATTACCAATTTGCTTTCTAACACTGAAATTTTGCCTTTTCCAGAAGGTCATATAAATAAAATCATATACTTTGTAGTTTTGGGGGGCTTCTTTCACTTAAAATAATGCTTTTGAGATTTATTAGTGCTGTTGCTTATATCAATAGATTGTTCCTTTTTTTTTTTCTTTTAAGTTTTTATTTAAATTCCAGTTAGTTAACATACAGTGTATGTTACTTTCAGGTGTACAATATATAGTGACCCAACACTTCCATAAAGCACCCGGTGCTCATCACAACACGCGCGCTCCTTAATCCCCACCGCCTATTTCACCCATCCCCTGCCCACCTCCCCTCTGGTAACCATCAGTTCTGTAGAGTTAAGAGACGGCTTCTTGGTTTGCCTCTCTCTCTTTTATTCCCTTTGCTTGTTTGTTTTGTTTCTTAAATTCCACATATGATTGAAATCATACGGTATTTGTCTTCTCTGACTTAGTTCACTTAACATTATACTCTCTAGCTCCATCTATGCCATTGCAAATGGCAAGATTTCATTCTTTTTTATGGCTGAATAATATCCCATTGTGTATATATACCTAATATCTTCTTCCTCCATTCATCAGTCGATGGACACTTGAGCTGTATCCATAATTTGGCTGTTGAAGATAACGCTGCTATAAACATCGGAATGCATGTATCCCTTTGATTTAGTGTTTTTGTATTCTTTGGGTAAATAAATACTCAGTAGTGCAATTGCTGGGTGGTGGGATAGTTCTAATTTTAACTTTTTGAGGAACCTCCACACTGTTTTCCAAAGTGGCTGTAGCAACTTGCATTCCCACCAACAGTGCAAAAGGGTTCCCCTTTCTCCACATCCTTGCCAACACCTGTTGTTTCTGTGTTGTTGATTGTAGCCATTCTGACAGGTATGAGGTGATATCTCATTGTAGTTTTTGATTTGCATTTCCCTGATAAAAAGTGAGGTTGAGCATCTTTTCATGTGTCTGTTGGCCATCTGTATATCTTCTTTGGAAAAATGTCTATTCATACTCCCATTTTTTAATTGGATTATTTGTTTTTTGGGTGTTGAGTTTTAAAAGTTCTTTATGTATTTTGGATACTAACCCTTTATCATATATATCATTTGCAAGTATCTTCTCCCATTCCGTAGGTTGCCTTTTAGTTTTGATTGTTTCCTTTGCTGTGCAGAAGCTTTTTGTTTTAATGTAGTCCCAATAGTTAATTTTTGCTTTTGTTTCCCATACCTCAGGACACATATCTAGAAAGAAGTTGCTATGGCTGATGTCAAAGAAGTTACTACCTTCGCTTTTCTCTAGGATTTTTACGGTTTCAGGTCTCACCTTTAGGTCCTTAATCCATTTTAAATTTATTTTTGTGTATGGTGTAAGAAAGTGGTCCCGTTTCATTCTTTTGCAGGTGGCAGTTCAGTTTTCCCAACACCATTTGTTGAAGACACTGTCTTGTTCCCATTGGGTATTCTTGCCTGCTTTGTTGAAGATTGTGGGTTCATTTGTGGGTTTTCTATTCTGTTGCATTGATCTACATGTCTATTTTTGTGCCAGTACCATACTGTTTTGATTACAGCTTTGTAATATAACTTGCAGTCTGGAATTGTGATGCCTCCAGCTTTGCTTTTCTTTTTCAAGATTGCATTGGCTATTTGGGATCTTTTGTGGTTCCATACAAATTTTAGGATTGTTTGTTCTAGCTCTGTGAAAAATGCTGTTGGTATTTTGATAGGGATTGCATTAAATCTGTCAATTGCTTTGGGTAGTAGACATTTTAAACAGTATTTGTTTTTC